AGGACAGTTCTTTCTGTTTGCACATTTTTAGCAGGCCGTTTCAACCAGAGTTTTGGTGATCCGGTCAACCGTTTCCATCTGATATTAAATGCTTTTCAAATAAGTCTTCTGAGACCAGTTTTGTTGAAATTGTTAATATTCCCTTATTTCGTCACACTCTACATCACTTTCAGCGTTGAGTATTATGCACATGAACTAACTATTTTTATATGTTTTATGAACGAGTGGGAAAAGAGGCGAATGGAAAAGATGTGGAAGGCAGCTGCAATTTGTCACAACACTTCCCAGAACGATCACATTTTAAGGTGCAGTCACATTAACAAAATGTAGAGGATTCCTATCGAAATGTAAATGTAAAACGCTGAATAATGTTACATGTGACTGCACCTTTAGTTTATTGAAGTTTATTGAAAGGATTTCTGGTACAGGATTACACAATCCTCTATTCCAGACTCTAAAAAATACAAACTAGATATATATACAAGTTCACATTTTGAATCATGTCATTTCTGCCGCGCGCGCACCTCCGCATCCCATAGACAGCATTTCACAATAGGCTTTTTGTCTGATTTTCAAAACTCTTCGCGATCGATCTCTTACAAGATTGACGGGTTAGTGATTCCTGTAACATACTGTTTTACGGTCAATGACATGAGTACTAATAAGCTGTCTCGCGAACGTAACAGCACATTTATCCCCACATAACAAACTCATAACACAGCGAGGGAGAACTAAGTTACATGAAAGAATCCCAACTACATATTTTACACCACTCACAAGGGAAAAGTCACTACTCACGGAGTGTAAGGCTAGCTTCCAGCTTTCCGCTCCTTCTCTTTCAAGGTAGTGACGAAACGCGTTCTGTAGCGCTGTTTGTTCGATGTTATATGAGTTATACGAGTTCTATGGCGACCTTCATAGAAGGGGATTCCCGCGGTTATGTAGATATAAATGTCTCATTCTAAGGTAATAAAAACATTACGGTTTATTAAGTAAGTTCTTTATACACCACTGAAAACATATTTATAGATGTCATATTGCATTTCTGTTAATAGATACTCAACTTTTTTACACATTGCACCTTTAATGCTGACCACTTGTGATCGGATCATGAAAAATGCATTGCTTGTTCATATCAGGGAGCCTGTATCTCATGACGTGCTACAGCTGAAAAGAGTAAAACTAAGAATATCCATATTTTATGTTTCCATACAGTAGTACATGTGTAGTGCTTTTTCAGTCCTGTAAATGATGTGGGTGTGGCCATCTGGAGTGACGTCACAGAAATAGAAACCAAGCAACTAACCAAAAGAAGTTGCTTATCATGATAACAGATGGTTAGAATGAAAATTATGAATAAAGTGGATGAGATTCTTTAAAGTAGTTGTTGCTTTACCAAGTTGCATCTGGTTAGGACACATTGTAAATGTAGTTAGCTGCCAAAACATCCATAGGCTACTATAGACTTTAGTCAGATTAGACAGCATTTTGAATTTAACGTGGATGTAAACAAGGCACGCACTGTATCAAGTTCTTTGATCACAATATGTTCAGAACAGCTTTCAAAACTATTTTATGTAGATTTTTTTTTTGTTTGATCAAATGAACAACATATTGCTAGACAACAGTCCAGTCCATTGAATGCGCTGTACTTATATCCCTCACAGCCTTGTTTTTTTTTTTTTTCTGTTCATTAAATACGTTATTAAGCGAACAGACAGATTAATGTCCTTTTCTAGAGGGTTAAATGAGGAAGAGGAGGAGATTACCGATGACATGTGAGTAATGAGCTGGACGCAGAAGCCCTCTGCGTCGATGGTGACTGTAATTATTTCCACAGCAGTCAGGGTCATGACTTTGCCATTTTAGCTGATTTGCACGTCTGTTCGTGTATTCACTTACCCTTGTTTAGTCTAATCTCTTGTGTATCTATCATGTCCCTTGGTAAGAGGTTTTCATTGCGTGCAGAGTGACATTTTGAAGGACGATCCTCTGGTTTCAGAAAATGTGTGACCAACTATAGCTCCAATATATCAGGGTTATTGAAGTTATATCTGTTATGTTTTTATAGATTTTTTTTTTGTTTGATCAAATGAACAACATATTGCTAGACAACAGTCCAGTCCATTGAATGCGCTGTACTTATATCCCTCACAGCCTTGTTTTTTTTTTTTTTCTGTCAAATATTAAAAATCTCATTACCCTAAGGTCTATTACATGTACAGTAACTGATTGTCTTTGTCTTTTCATGGGTGAAATGGCCAAAACAGGTCAAGTGCATATACAGAATACTGATTGTGTTTGATCGATATTCGCTCTTTTTCAGCCATTCGGGCTTAAATCTTATTGTTCGCTGAAGCTCTGCTCATGTCCAGAGGGAGCAAGTGCAAGTGTCACCCGCCCTTTTTCATTTCCATTATCATTAATTGTTTATCATCATGTTTCTTATTTTCCTTTTCATTGGCTTTCTTTGTGAAGATATCATAATTGCACTGCTTTGTACCACGGTTTTGATATTATACTTCAAGATCCATTAGCATCTCAAGTACTTGAAACGAGCAATCATTTAAAGGTGTCATCGATTTACTATACCAGCCTCCGCATTCACAGGCATGCTGGGATGGCCAAACATATGCCCGCAGCTTATAAAGCAAGGCTTCGACAATCTATAGTCAATTGGATTTTGAGGTGTGCAGAGTGTGCTACTGAAACTCTATTATCCCTCAGAGGGAGAGGGACACGGATCAGCTCAACAGATATGATCACATCATAACCCTCTAATCCTTCATCTTTAGAGTCCACTGCTTCTGATCCACCAGTGGACCCTCAAGGGCCATTATAGCTCTGCGTAAGAACACCTGCTGAGATCAGAAGGGAGTAAAAACCGCTGATAAAAGCAAAATATGACATGTGACTTATTTTTTACAAATTCCGTAATGCAGCAAGAACACTGGATTTATAATACAGGATGGTTTGCCATCATTAAGACAATCTGCATTGCATCAGGAGAAGCTAATGGAGAATGTCAGGTCATTTGTGCATGGCCCGAGGGCTCGACGGAAGGGAATATTACTGTGAGCTGATACATTTAAGCATTCGTGTCTAGAAAAGAGCAGTGTCGGTTAAGAGAATTCTGCTTTTACAGTGACTGGTCCACATGAAAACGTAATCTCAAGACCTGGGGCAGGAGGATGTTGTATATAGTTAAAAGAGTGAGAAAAGGGGCAATGTGAACAAATGGCCTAGAAATAAATGAGAATAAATATTCTGCATACTGAATATGTGCCTAAATTCACATGTCTTTAATATCCTTACAATTCAATTGGATTGTAAGAAGACAATTCACTCTTTTTTGACCAGCATTAATTATTAAACAAACAACGTGGGCTTTTTTTTTTTTTTTTTGCATGAATGTGATTCACCTTTCACATTTCTACAAAACCGAATGAGAACCATAATCCCTCAAAGGTTATAAAGTATTATTAAAAGTGCCACTGACCTCGATCACTGGGGTGTGTTCATTAAATACGTTATTAAGCGAACAGACAGATTAATGTCCTTTTCTAGAGGGTTAAATGAGGAAGAGGAGGAGATTACCGATGACATGTGAGTAATGAGCTGGACGCAGAAGCCCTCTGCGTCGATGGTGACTGTAATTATTTCCACAGCAGTCAGGGTCATGACTTTGCCATTTTAGCTGATTTGCACGTCTGTTCGTGTATTCACTTACCCTTGTTTAGTCTAATCTCTTGTGTATCTATCATGTCCCTTGGTAAGAGGTTTTCATTGCGTGCAGAGTGACATTTTGAAGGACGATCCTCTGGTTTCAGAAAATGTGTGACCAACTATAGCTCCAATATATCAGGGTTATTGAAGTTATATCTGTTATGTTTTTATACAGACATACTACTACAAAAGTATTAAGAGGAAAAGCTGAAGGTTTCTTTGTGTCAAATCAAGAGTAAGCCTTGCTGTAATGTTTGACTTTGCAGAAAGAGCATGAAATTGAATCACACCGTACCTCCAGCCGCCCTGAACTAACTCAACCAACCATGCAGGAGTACAACACCATCCTCTTTCCTCTGCATTAATGATGATCGAAGAGAGGAAGCAAAATAAACCTTGGTTCAAAAGACATATGGACACGCTCCAGGAGCCTATACTGTAAGACATGCTCCTGGGTCGTGCTAGCATGATGTGCGCTATTTTCCTGTCACAAAGCAGCTTGGCACACCATGCTAATCTGTTTGGGGATGATCAGAGAGTAAGAGTAAATGAGCGTCATGAGAAATGGCCTGGCGAAAATCAGAACTGCAAAAAACATAAGGCCACTTCACAGTCTAAAAGTCAGCGGCACTGCAGCCCCTTTAAGCAATGAATCGTAACTAGTGTGTTTATGTAGTGTGAGAATGTGAAGGGATGTGTGATCTAAATGCATCCTTCTGGCATTCTTCTTGTGTAGTGTGTTTGTATAAGTGCGTTCATGTCACAATCGGTTTCTGTATTCTGCTGTGCCGTTGTTGGCTAGCACTCAAAAGGCCCGTGGGCTGCTGTTTTGCTGTCAGTCACAGAAAGGATATGTCATGTAGTTTCCACACGAGGGCAAGTAGCTTTCATGGCCCATAGGGCTATTATTTCCATGTTAGGAGCAGTGCGCCATGTTTTTTCAACATCTCCAGCAGAGCTGACTGCATTTAAGTCTTGTAAAATGAGATTGTCAACTTCGATGGAGGAATGAGGCGATAACAGCAAAATTGCTGTGCAGTTGTTATGAAAGAGCCATTTGGAGGACTTTAATAATGTGAAATATGGCCCACATGCTGAATCAGATTTTGATGCAATAAATGTCCTCAGACTAAAAGCAATGAATGTGCTCTGTTTGTCAAACTAGTGCTAATGTTCCTGGTAAATGAATGTTTAAAAACTGCTGATATTAAATGTATATGTGACCGTGCATGTGATCTAAAAGACATTTCTGTCTCTCTCGCTGACATTTGCAGGTTCCGGAAACATGGCAGCCACTGAGCCACTCCTTTACATCTCTCTGCTGATCCTGCATAAGCTCCTCCCCTTCCTGTTTGCCTACTAAGAGACCACAGCCAAACAACTCGCAATGATTTCACTTTATGTACCAAACAACAAAGGGAAAATATAACTATGTATCTATAAATATATATAAATATATCTACCATTATGGCACTTCACAAAGAGGGATGGGATACGACTTACGAAGAAAATAAAAATATCAGAATAATAATGAGAAGGCCATTTTCTTTTCTGGGACTTGTGTAGAAGATCTGTCTCAGATTTGGATGTACAATGGATTCTATATGAAGCATGATGAAAAACAAAAAAAAAATAAAAATAAAATAAAAGGAGTCTATGTGAATTAGAGCTTCACAACTGTGTCACACACTCAACTGACATCCATAACAGCCCATTCTCACCCCCAAGGCGTCACTTAACTGACGCCTTGGGAAGCATTTGGACATGCTTCAATATCTGACGCTTTAGGCGCCCTTTAGCGTCAGTTAGATGACGCCCTAGGATCGCGTGTACCCTACCCCCACCCCACGCCTAAACCTAACCGCGTCCTCTAACTGACGCTTTCCTTTAGCGTCAGTTAGATGACGCTGTAGGATCGCGTCATGTAAGTGACGCTAAAGGGCGCCTAAAACGTCTAATATTGAAGCATGGTCAAAGGTGACGCCTTGGGGTGAGAATGCGTTGTCCATAAACGCTTGCCTTGCCATATGCATGGCTCTATTAATTTATTATTATTATTATTTTTTTACTTTATGAATTAAGGTCTTTTTGTTTGTTTTCCAGTTCACTGCGGTTTTAATTTTAGCATTGTTCTTATCAGAGTATCTGATATTGAATCATAAATGACTTAGTCTTTTGAGATTGCTTTGTTTTGTTTGTTTGTTTTTTTAATAAATTTATCAACTTTTTTTTTTTTTTTTTTTTTTTTTTTGCATGAACTGTTCAGCGGTCTCATTTTTAATTTCATAAAGGTGAAAGAAGGCTCTCTCTCATGTCAGTTCTTTCTACAAGACTGTGTGTAATACTGTAATTCTGTTCCCTCACTGAGTTCTCAAGCATATTTTGTCTCATAATGTATAAAAATGCAACCATATATATTTTGATCAAATAAGGCACATGTTACCATAGTGGTTGTTAGTCACCTCTAATAATGTTTATTTTTATTAAAGGTATGGTGGTCAAAATAATACATTCATTTATAAAATTTAAAAAAGAAAAGAAAAAAAACATTGGTATGTTGCCAACACAGTTGAAATAAAAGTTGTTTCTTTAAATAAATTTAAAAAAAAACACACTGTTTTTGTTTTATTCAGGTGCACAAGCATCAGGCAGCTGCATGACAGTAGTGTCTCGGCTAAACACTACAGCGTCCCATGGGTGTCATGAACTGTAACGTATTCTTCACAATAGGATAGGCCCGAATCCAGCTGGAAAACACATTACTCTCGCAAGCATCACCAACTGAGCACAGCTGCCGTACAACTCACGGTTCATTTCATTAGTCAAATGCACATCACCCTGTCAAATAACTGTTAATTCTCTGCTGCTGTCTTCACTGAACCCTACTCCACTCTCTTCCGCTCTACCTAAACACATCTTCTGATAAATGGCAGAGGCATTGTTCCTTGCTAAAACACTGCATTCTATTGTCTTAATGGAAGCCTGCAAGGCATCACATAACAAACCAGACTCTCACTGAATTAGACATTCATTGTGTTTATCGCCTTCAAGTAACTGACTATCACTCACTTTGAATTTAACCTGCATAATGAAAAGTCATCTTCCTTTCAATGGAATAAATAACAGTTTATACAAACATAAATGGATATTACGGGTCAAAACGAGAAGCAAGCGAGTATCCACCACAACATTAGCATTTTTCTTTTTTAAGCAAAATGAGCCAGGTGGCTTTCATTCTGCTTGGTGAAGGTCTCTTCTTCCCATCAAATTAATGAGTGTTTGACATGGCCATTTATATGTGTTACATAACAAGACCCTGAGTGCTTTCCCCACCCCTGTAAATCATCCCTCATTCAAATAAACTAGCATGGCACACTCTTATTGTTTTCTGTCCTACCTCCTCCTAAAATTCACTTCTGAAGGAAACATCAGTGATAGACTGCAAAAAAATCTTGCTGTGGATTTTATGCAAATGCACTCATGCAAATAACTTGTGTAAGACACAATTGTTGCCAACAACAAAGTACAAATATAGTGATTATAATTGCTTTGTCATTGATTAATTTATCTGGCTGTCAATTAAATTGTTATTATGACAATGCCTCAGAGGCTTGAAAATGGATATTTGGTTGCTATTTTAAAGTGCAGATCACATTAACTTTGTCTCAGATATTTAACCAAATAAATTCTTAGGAAAAAATAAATGAGAAAATTACTGACAAGTGTAGAACTATACAATTAAGGTGAATATAAAATTTAAGATGTTTTGGTTTTGAATGAAAGATCAGAAATGTTTACATTAATATTAAAGTTTTACTCGAAAAAAAGGTTCCCACTTATTAGGAGTCTTTAACTTTGTACTAACATTTAAATTAATAAATTGATACAATGCACTTACTGAGCATTAAACTTGTGGGCTTAAGGGATGCACATATGACCCAAAGGGAAGCATATGGGGAATCACTGGGTTGTCCAGCCGCAGGTGGACTATTTTAGGGGTGGCAAGGTGGCTTGCCGAGGGTTGCTCAGGGGAGGGACTATGCACACGGGAGGCACCTAGCCGACGCGCACGCAATAGACACTGGCGCCGACGACAGGATTGCTGGAGGAACTAGGGCTTTCAGGGAAGCTCACCTGAGGAAGTATAACATGAATCCACTCCGTAGAGTGGAATGGCGAGCAAGTGAAGACACCTGAGCGGGTCCGGTACTAGCTGGTTGAAGTGAGATTGGAGAATCAGAGACTTTAGTATCTGGCGAATGTGTTAGGTGTCGCCCAGCCTGCAGCTCTATAGATGTCTGTTAGTAAGGCACCATGCGCTAGAGCCCAAGAGGACGCCACACCCTACGTGGAGTGGGCAGTCACACCACCTGGTCCTGGAAAGGAGTGGTAGGAACCTTGGGCACATATCCAGGCCGGGGTCTCAGGATCATGTGAGAGTAGCCCAGCCCGAATTCCAGGCACGCTTTGTCAACGGAGAATGCCTGCAGGTTCTCACCTTCATGATGGAGGCCAATGCGACCAGAAGCGCTGTCTTCATAGACAGGAACTTTCATGGACAGGAACTTGAGCTCCACTGATTGCAAAGGCTCAAAGGGAGGCCTCTGCAGGGCAGTTAGAACCAATGAGAGGTCCCAAGAGGGAACGAGAGGAGGGTGAGGAGGATTTAGTCTCCTCGCTCCTCTCAGGAAAACGATCAAGTTGTGCTTCCCCACGGACTTACCATCGATAAGGTCATGTTGTGCGGCAATAGCAACGACATGAGACCTTGAGGGTGGAGAGAGACAGCCTTCACTCCAACCCTTCTTGAAGGAAGGAAAGCACGACACTGATCGAACACCTCCATAGGTCTTCTCGGTGAGAAGAGTACCAGTTGATGAAGAGGTTCCACTTCAACGCATAGACGTGTCTCGTGTACAACTCTAGCGGAAGTGATGGTAGCCACCACCGCTGGTGGTAGGGTACTCAAACCTGCCTGGTGGAGGTTCCAAAGATCGGGATTCCGGACCAGGTCCGGGAGGACCAGTACGGCGCAACCAGAATGATCTGCTCCTCATCCTCCCTGACCTTGTGCAAAGTCTGCGCAAGAAGGCTCACAGGGGGAAACGCATATTTGCCGTCCCGCAGCCAACCATGCGCCAGTGTATCCATGCCGAGTGTGCCCTCGGACAGCGAATAATACAGGGTGCAATGGGTCAAGTCGTGAGAGGCAAACAGATCTATCTGTGCGTCCCCGAACTGGACCCAAATCAGCTGAACCGACTGGGGATGGAGTCGCCATTCTCCAGGAAGGGGCTGAAGCCGTGAGAGCTGAAAGCTTGTCGTTACAACAACATGGCGGGTAGGGCGTTCCAGGGGCACATTTTTACAGTGATCAGGCAAATCTAAGAACAATTTGTGACAGAGAGATCTCCCCCGATATAGAGGAGACACACATGAGATTACACGCGTAAAGATAAAAATCTGAAAAGCAGGATACTCCTTTAGCTCTCCACTGTGGTCTCATTACTGTCTAAGTGAAACAACAGATATATGAAATCTTATCATTTTATCTAATATGCAGAAAGCCTCCGAGTACAATGCTGTCGCTTTATGACACATTTCTTGTTCCTCCAGGTATAATTGTGCCTAAGCTGGAAACAGACAAATAGCCAAATGCTGGGATCCCTGGGATTTTGAGCACTGTAGATTAAAAAGAAACAGTATAGAACATTACAAAGAAGATTTTCCTTACATATGTATGTTCTATCCATCACTAATCCAGAGAGTCACGAGTTCATATTAGAATAAAGGGTTAAAAGAGGTTAAACCTATAGCTCCAGTCTTAAACTGTGGTGATTTTGCTTTTATAAGGTGAAATAAAATCTGTGTTGGACACAATGGACACAATATTTAAAATAATATACCAAAGTAAATAAAATTGCAATCTCAATACTTGGTGTATCACCAGGTAATGGCTTCATTGAAGTATTTGCATGCAATAAAATGCGATCAAAAACAGTAATATATGCATTAGATTCTTGCTATAAGCTTTATGTGTGGTGGATCAGCAGATGGTGAGATGATAATCTTTGCAATGGACTAGCCGAGGCAGAAATTTGTGTTACCACACAAGAAACACAAATCCTTACAGTAGATAAAGAATTCAGAGCAAGGTTTGCTGTATTACAGTGTGTTCAGTTCATAAGCCATGTCTGCCGATTAATCAGCCACACAGGGGCATTTATTTCCCCTGTCTAAGGACAAAAAGGAAAGTGCCTGGAATGTGCAGGACATTGGGAACATGACTGAGTTTCATTTGCTTTTTTTTTTTTTTTTTGCTTTTTTGTTTCATGGTTGACAGTCAGCGCACACTGAGGTGATGCATTGTGTGCCAGAGACTTTTGCCCTCAGACTCGCACTTTCACCGAGCATGATAAATCCATGATGCAATCTATGCTGTTCTGTTCTGTTCTAATAAAGCACAACAGAGAGATAACCAAACAACAGCACAGGGCTGTTACCAA